AGAGAAAATCTTGGCACGAACACTTGGTTTTGAAATTCTACGAAACGATGCAACAATGAGGAGAAGAACCAATTCTCTTCTAAAAAGTTCTTGTTTAATTTCTTTCGTAAATTGGAAACCCGTTAAGAAAATCATGCACGAAGAAAAAAGAAGAATAGTACATACGCATGGTAAGACTTCGTAGTGACTTCCAGAATTCCATCAACTTTGAGTATCGTATTTAATTGTCGTAAAACATAGAACAAAATTAGAATCGGAGGCAGAGATACGTTGATCACTTCCTGATATAAATTTTTCTAAATAAAAACTTGGACGAGAAACTGCGTCAAAAACACTCAAAATAGATGAACTCCCTTGAATCAAACGATTGCGGAATAATTGAAAAACAGGGATGAAGATGGTGCAAAGTCTCTTTCTCAAGGGACGATAAAACTTTGGAAGATAAACTGTATCAGATATAAAGATCAACTTTCTCAAATCGAACGATTGCACAATAATCGGAAAACATGGATGATGATGATGATGATGATGATACAAGATCGCTTCCTGAAGGAACGATAAAATCTTGGAAAATAAACCGTAGCAGAAATACTCGAGAGATTAATTACTTCAAATGAAGCGTTTACGGAAGAATCGAAAGAGAAGAATGATAATACAAAGCGAACAGGGGAAGAGAAGCATCCTTGGAGGGAAGGGGCCTGATCGAGGGCTACTCACCCTGTAAGGCGACGGCTAGAAGGGCCAGCAAGAGGCCCACGAAGTACGCGGGTCTCAGCCGCGAGCCCGTCATCTCGTTTCACTAGGCACTACACGATGAGCCAGGGCTGGCAGCTCGTCTCACTCGATAGTCGCCTTCGACTCCAACTCGCCCGCGAGGAACTGGCATTGTCACTACCGCCAAACCCCGAAGTCGCCCCTCTACTTCTCACCCCACAGCCGGGACCACGCGAGCCATCATTTTCTCGTTTTTTCCCGCCTGATCGCGAGATTCCATTCGCGTAATTTTCGAATACCTATTGTTTTTGGTATTTGCTGGCGAGAAGAATTGCATGTTAAATTCCTTATCGTTTATTGGATGGATTAGCGTCAAATGAAATAAAACTAAATTTCAATCGAGAAGATCTTAGTACGTCCGAAGGAAGGAAGAGTGTTTCTTCACACTTTCTCTAAGTGTTCTAGAAATTGGAAACATTTTTAATATATATATTATCGATGGAGAAAGGATATGCGCGTGAAGATTTGGATTGTTACTTGGACTTTGTATAATTAATTACGACGTGATGATATAAATGGAAGTAAATGATTCTATGCTGCAGACAAGATCTAGAGTACATACAGGTATACTCTATAAATAATTACTCGATATTTGATGGAGTAAACATGTTTGTTTCGAAAGCGTTAGGAGAGAAAAAGAAATGAATCTGAGCGAAGAAGATCGAAATCTTTAATGTTGATGTTGCTGATTTCGTAACGTGTTGATAGCGAGGATGATAGGTTTAAATAGAAGATACTATACTAGGATTTTAATGAAAGATTAAACCTGAATTGAGTTCTTTTGACAATTTATCAGGTTCCTTCTCTGCTCGACTTCTTTACTCAAATCAATAGATTGATCAAAGCAACTCGTAGAAAGTTCTATAATTACGAGAATTAACCAGAAAGTACGGCTTTTAAACGAGTCCGATGAAGCGTTGCTTTTATTCGAAGCTAGCAATAGTCTACAAAACGACAATTTGGTTTTTCCTGAAGTATGCAGAAGATGCCTGAGCACGACCACCACTGATTCACCGAATCATTATCTCGTACAATCCGTAGATACTGGTCGTAGAGTGGCAGTTTTAAAAATACCTCTTGGCGGCCCGGTTTTCTCGGGTTTGCAGGGTCTACCTGGCCGACAGACCGCTAAGACATTGACTAGCGACCGTGCACGAAGATCCTGCACACGTTTCGACCTAACTATCACGTCATCCTCAACCTCGTTTCCATCGTCGTCGTCTTCGTCGATCTTTTCTTCCTCCTCTTCCTGCGTGTTTTTTTTCTTTTTTAATATATGACGAAAGTCTGTCATCGACCGTTTTTCTGTTGCTATATTTTCTCATCGATGGTCACAGTATGTTACCCCCAGAATTTGGTAGGCTAGATGAAGGAAAGTCGATGACGGAAATTCATGACGAGTATAAAGATAGAGGTTTATAAATAATCACGATGATCTCTCGCAGATATATTTTCTTTGTCTTCGCAATGAAAATTACGATGCTTTATCGAAGATCAAAGTTGTGTAGTTACTTAATACGAGCCAATTATATGCGCCGCAGTCGTAGAATTCCTAAAATACATGCGTGATATGGGGACAAGGTCGTCATGGAAATCGGCAGAAAGTTAGATGTTGATGAAAGTAGTACATCTTTGATCTCGAGGAATGTGTGTTGGTTTTGCTAGTCAAAATAAATCGAATATCTTAATCAAATAGTAGCGAAATTGTAATACTTCGAGTCTTTAGAAAATAAGCCTCCGTGATTCCTATTTAGTATATAGGAATTTGGAATAATTCGATTGTTTAATTTTCCATTTTCAGCTTCTTTATATTGTTAAAGGTAGGAAAATCGAAGTATAATTTCATTCTCATTGAAAAAATTATATCTAATACATTGTTATATTTGATAATATGCTACATAGCTTATTATAGGTTTTCATTGTCAATGAAAATAACGTTACATCAAATAAACTCTCCTCCTGAAATATTCAGGATGCAAGTGTAATAATTCTCAGTAGCATATACGCTACATCGTATACATTTGCAAGTTCTGTATAACATTAGCAGGTATCAGTGCTTGTATATTGTTATAGTTATATATATATATATAGTTACTTGTATATAGTTCCTTATAAAACTCGGAGTTTTATACAATATACAAACACTGAAGCTTGGAATTTCATAAAAAATTCCCAATATATATATGGTTAATATATATAATGTATAATAAATAATATACTATAAATAGAACATAAAAGATTATATCGAACGCATCGTAAACACATAAGAGATAGTCAATTCTCAAAATTACAATCAAAATCACATACCAAATAACAATTTACATCTTCCTGGCTTCGATAACCAGATTAATACAAAGTACAAAAATAGTTTTAATTGCCTGAACCTAAATTTCTAAAGCATATTCTAACAGATATAATACAGCATGATACGTAAAAGTCCATTAAATTTTCCAATTATAATAGCAAAAGTCAGATCAGGACAAGACTTTAAGAATTCGTTCTATTAACAAGAATTCAAAGGCGCTATCTCCACCAATTTTTCAATTACTAAAATACTCCGTACTACTTGGAAATCGCTAGAATAAAATTTCACATAACGTGGGCAGCAAACTTCCAACGAAACGCTTCGTTCTGAAATTAAAGAACCGTGAACACGAGAACACGGAAAGTGGAAAGGGGACAAACTTTTGTGCGACGTAATATTAGCGGAATTCCAGACGTCTGTTATCGACGGTCCCAACGAGAAAATGTGGCTGCGGCGCGTGTAGCAAAGAGAAGAGATTCGCAGCGAAATGCGTGCTCGTTCGGACAGAGAGAAGCATCGAAACGACGGGCGCCTTTATATTTAGAAGCCCGGGTCGCCGCCGTATAAGGTGGTGCTTCCCTCGTGCAAAAGTTCTCGCGTTTGCTCGCTATCTCCCGTGCTCTCTCCTTTATCCTTTCTTCCTCTTATCTCTTTATCTTCTCTTATCTATAACATTATTCTATCAGGTTATCGATCTTATAGTATTGTTCAAAGGTTCTGTCAGTTTAGGTAATAAAAATATAACAAGCGTTTTTAATATCTTCGTTTACTCCCTTATGTCTATGTGTCGTCTATTTAATTCTTTATATGAACTTCAATCATGGATATCTTTCCGCCTTAATTATTATTGTCATGACAAAGAGCCATTTTATTTATTTATTGTTGAAATAAGACATTCGTAGTTATTATATAGAACTAGTTTCTATTTAAGTCTATCACAATGTAGTTAAGAAACAATGCTATTGATAAGTAACGTAGAAACTGACAGCACTTCTGCATCCATCTAATTATAAATCGTTGTTGTCCTTTCTTCTTATATTTGTATTATAAATGGCTCGTTACGGTCAAACTTCAATATTAAAATATAAATGTTGCGCTTCTATGCGATGGATAATTTCCATTATAACATTGAATATTTCTACCTATTATTCATTGATATTTAAATAAACTACGATAAAACACTCTGGTTTGATATAGTACCTCTATTATAAATATTCCTTCGAAACAGAGATTTCAATGTTTCATTATTCGTTACGATTTTGCGTAGTACGTGAGACAATGTAAAATTCTTTTCATTGACGCCAAAACGGTGGAATGTTTAGGTACGAGCGTAGATTTCATCATTGTAGCAACGATGGAGCATAGTTTAGTGCACACAAAATTTTCATGGTCTATTCGAAACGCTAACTGATCCTTGCCAAACATAGGAACTGAAGTGTAAAACTGAATTACAAATGGAAAGCTGTCGAGTATGTATGAAGTGTAAAAGAGGGAAGTATAACGAGAACGGGAAAAGTATCGATTTGAGAAACGAAGTTTACTGGCCAAATTGGCCGGTACACGATCTATAATAAGCTCGTAATCGTATGAGGTCACAATACGGCTTGGACAGACGTGTTTCACGTCATTATGATTTAGTATTTGGACAGGTTCCTGAACCTGGACAGATCCCTCAGTTACTCCTTTCACGGAACATAATGATTAGAGTACTTTGTTTGTGTTAGATCGCAAGCATCGTACAAACATTCGTTCTTTTATATATTTTAATTAAAATAATATTCAAAATATATAAATTTAAATTAGACATTAAAAATAAAGATTCTTTCTATGTATTATTTTTACTTACTGTATTTATTATATTATTTTGTCTATTATATTCTGCGATAAACCAGTGTATTTTATATCAAATTTTCCTTTATAGGCTCGCAAGATCGAGGAACATAAGAGAAAGAAGGAACGCAAGATACAAGAAAAATTAGAACGTGAGAGACAAGAAAGATTAAGGAAAGCTCGAGAAAGTGCAAAGGCTTATGAGGACAACACCCGTACTTCCCAAACTGATCATCCCGGAGATAGCCCTGGAATGGGAGACTTTTATAAATTTTTAAATGATCCAGACGTTCTCCAAGCTTTCCAGGTAAATATCTACTAATCAGTTCATTCGACGATATCGTTTATGCGTTAATATAAACTTCTGTATCACATGGTTATATAGAAGTTAAATTATATAATTAAATTAAAATATATAAAACTCGTGATATCACTGCACTAATATAATTTTTTCTGGTAATTTTTGGAGTTCTTATAGCGTGGATTATCACTTTCGTGTCAGAACGAAATCTATTCTGATATTGGTATTATTAACTCTTCACTAAATTTTTCAATTAATTTTTCAATTAATTTTTCAATAAATTTTTCAATTAATTTCACGATTAATTTTCTAACTAATATTAATTTTTCTTTTGCAGGATCCTGAAATCGCTGAGGCCTTCAAAGAAATTTCTACAAACCCAGCAAATATTTTGAAGTACCAAAACAATCCGACGGTCATGGCGTTTATTAATAAGATGGCTTCGAAATTTGGCGGAGCTGGTAATATCCCAGGTGGTTTTCCTGGTATGATGGGTGGTATGCCCGGAGCCCCAGGAGCTGGAGCTCCAAAACCGAAACCACAGGACGACGTTGGCCTTGATTAAAGCTGGTGTGCTCGAAATTCCTTCTCAATTTACCTTCAGATGATTTACAAGGCTCTGAATAATTGAGTTAAAGCGACCATTATATGGTGTCTTATTAAACTAATACTAACAAATTAACCGTGAGTTGGATTGTAAAAAGATATATCTTTGTTGCCATAAAGAAGATTTATTCGTTTCTCGATAAACTTGAGAAAGAAGCATAATTATAAAAATCCTATATAATATAGCTTAAAGTTAGAACTGTAATCTAAATATGGAATATATCGACATTTGTTATTCTGTAAACGTCCAACTGAACTTCTAGATAATAATCGAATAGCATATATTCTATATTAATATAATATAGACTAATATAGTCTGCCGAACGATTTTACCATTTTGATTTCAAACTTGTTTGATTGATTTTACATTTGCAGAAGGAATATTTTTGCGGAAGGGATTTTAAATTGGAGAAGGAATTACTTTATGCCTTTTAATGCTTCTTTCTTAAATAATCCTTAATTTTTAGTTGTTCATTATATGGAAATGCATTCTAGAATAACGAGTGATACTAGAATTCATTTCTATTAAACGTATACGTATAGCTTTTTCATTTTTTCAAGTTTAATATTTTATATGTTTAAGCTAATTGTCTACTTATGTTATAATACGTTTGTTCACACATCAACGAAATATGTCAACGTGAACTATCACTTAACTCTCGATTTAATTTACATTATTATCTATGTTTAGTATTTTACGTATATAATAGGCATTTTGTTCACTTTGCTCGATAAACAGCTGATGCTTGACTCGATACGGAACGAATACGATTTCATATGATATAATCATAATCATGAAAATGAATGGATTCTTTTTTTTTAAGGCTAAATATTATATGCATCAAGTTAATGTGAAACGTAATGCTAGATCTCCGCTAGTCCTTGAAAAGTACAGCAGATCTAAATTGAATGTATGTATTGTATATACCTACGAAGAGAGAGACAAAGGAAGAAAGAAAGGATGATTTTTGGCAAAACAAATATCGCGAAGCAGTATGATATAAAACTAGGCACTCGCAATTACTTTATGTGATTTAGAAGAGTTTTCCTAAGAGCTGAAGCTTTAGACGAACTTGATTAATTTGTTATGCAAGTTCGTTTATATATCGTACATATTAAGAAGTCCATTAATTTTCAAAGGGTTTCTTTTAGTTATTAACCAAAAAGATTCTTTTTTTCAATTATGATCTGATGAATATTGAACCAACAGTGTGAGTTGAGCAGTCAACAAACAATATACCGCTTCGAATGTGCATTTTTGAAATATAAACTGCTATACGATGTAACGCGAGTTCAATAAATGCATCATACAGTTCTGTGTAAATATCAACAATTCTTATTTGCCACAGAAAAATTGACAAATAAATATGTACAAAAATATTGTTCGGATTAACGATAATCACATATACTTTGTTTTAAAAAGAAAGAGAGCTAAGAAAACAAGAAGAGAGCTACATCGTTGTGTCTTCGTATCTAACGATTTAAAAGAAAGGGTAACGCAATCTCAATGGCTAATAGTAACGCACTATTCGCATGACTTGCACAATAAATAATTTCCTACGCGTAAATTCTTATAAACGATAATATTGCACGTAAAATGAAAAGGTACTGCACTCTTAGGGATAATTGATTAGAGAGAATTAACTCGCTTTGATACACATACAATTATACTAGGAAGTAATTTTTTTCCAACATCTCCAAGGTCAAATAATTTTCCTCATCATTTTAGCTAGTAACATATATGTATATTAGATACATAAAAAAATATTCTATTTATTGAATAGAAGTTATATTTCTATATCCACAAATCTACCAAATGCAATAATTTTGTAAAGTTGAAGACTAAAAAGTATATAAGTAAGCTATCTAAACATTTACACTTGTAATGAGGGAAATAAGAATTGTAATCTTGAAGATGCTAAAAGTCCGACTCTCTACAATAAGATAAATAATGCCTCATCGTAACAATCCTTCGAAAAACAAGGATAAAAATAAAAAAAAAAAAGACAACGAGACGATCGATCAACTTATACGATATTTTCGATAAAACTCTTGCTCCTTTCGTATCATTCTAACGATCCAGGTTTGCGTCATTTTATCGTGCTAGGTTCTTCTAATTTTGAGCATGTGCAAGTTAGGATGCCATGGCACTTTCCTGAAAGTCGACGTTTTCGTCTCGTCAGGAGATGGAACTTCCTTGTCGGTATCGGCTGTCTCGCCCTCCTCGATTAATCTAAGTCCAGTAATACCCGTATCGTAGCTGAACATTCGACGATGTCGTTTTACATCTTGGTTATCGGCGTTCCAATCTCTTGTACCCGGATCGCTGACCACGCGTCGATGCTTTCTGTGATGATGATGGTGGTGTCGACGATGAGGATGATGATGATGGTGATGACGCATTTGCCTGGACGATCGTATAACGTGGGCCGAACATTGAATATCCACGGCTGGTGACGCGATGCAGAACAAAGAGTTCGGATCGAAGTAGAGCCGATTGTCGACGAAAGGAACGAAACTCACTGAATTCGTCATCCACGAATTAGGGCAGATTAATTTCTTTGGGCTTCTCTGGATCGTAGAGGACCATTCGTTGTCCTGCTGCAGGTTGATAGTTACCTTTCTGCGGCAATAAGAGCGACGCGATCTCCATTGCAATCTGTGAAAAAAATTATTTATCCCTTTTTATGAGGGAAAAGTTTGTAACGGATACCCTTTGGTGGAAGAAGGATATAAAAGAAAATTAGACTTCAATACATATGAAATCAAACAATTTCTGTTACATTTATATAAATACTTTAAGTTATTACGTAGTTTTATGATAAATATATAGGATATTTCAAAATTAAAATCAATATCCAAATACAAACATCGGGTTTGCATTATAAACAAATTTCTTGTATATAAAAATAAGTATATTGCAAGATCCAATATAACTAAAATTTGTAGTTTTGAACGTATTTATTTGTAATTAGTTAAAATAATAATTAACAACACACCTAGAGGAACATGGATGTAGCGATCTGTGTCGTCAGTTGAGCGGATGTTCTCCCCTTGGCATCCTATAGCATTTATTCCACGCTTCCAGTAGCAGTACACAACTATGAAACCGATAAAAGATCAACAGGGGCAATCCAATCCTAGATATAATGCCCCAGGCGAGAACCCCGAAGAATCTCAGCTGTAGTTCTTGCGAGATCCAATTTTGTGTGATCACAGTATCAAAGGCCCACAAAACGGAATTACTGAACAGCAGGAAAGTGATCACTTGCCTGGCTGGTTTCGCTATTATTTGGAAACGAGCTATGCAAGATCTCTTCGATGCTTCGGCGATCAGTGTACTTTGAGCGAAACATTGGATTAGTTGTAGAATCGATGCTGTGAGTAGCATGATGTGTCTTCCTTGTGTTTCGTCGCTTTCGTCCTCTAGAAGAGCCAAGGAACAGGCAGAAACAACGATCGTGAAAATGGAGTATAATTGAACTCCGAAAAGGGCCACGTTTGATAATAAATTATCTAAAATGGCTGGTGCCCTTGACACTATGGACATCTGACGAACTTGAACAAGTCCACTGGCTGTCATTAAGGTACTCAATATTAAAATGCTGGTCAGTGTGCCACAAGTTAACCAGGATAAAGTCGACGAAGGAAAATGTTCGTCTTCTCTTACGACCAGAAATATCAGTATAACTACTATGCCAGCTACCATACATAGTATTCCTAGGAATAAACCTTTGCTGGAGCCATCGCAGCCGACTTTGGTATGACTCGTCAGATCTTTGCTACCGTGGAACTTCTGCTTGTGTGACAACCGATTTCGACCCACGTTCTGACCCATTACAAAAGTTACTGCAGCAGCAATTAAACTGAAATCAAATTGGAAAGAATATAAAATTCAGATCACTTAAGATGTAGATTTTGTTTAGATATAGATTTTAAGGTATTATGATCTTGAATTATATATGGATCAGCGATATAAAATATACCTAAATTGCACAATAAATGGGTATAAAAATGGCATGCTCGATGTCCATAATTGTCCGAGAGTATTTGTATTCAAACATTCTTGTAATGCAATCACTTGGGAGATTTGTTCGTTCGAGATAGGTTGATATGGTTGGAAAACTTGCTTTTCTATTGGAGAATGATCTGAAAAAGATTAAATAAAAAATCAAAAAAACATATTTTTATATCGTACATTTTATAAATTGATATAATTTTTTACATGCACATTTATAATATTTATTTTCACATTAAAATAATGTTCATTGCGTAAAACATACTTATCAGATCTCGAGAATGCCTTGTCAAAGACTCCGGAAATCCTCGAAGATTTAACGGAGAAGCAGAATTGTGGATACCTCGTTGAGCTAAATGAACAAAATATGTCCATTCTTGAGCAGAATCCCAAATCACTAGACGAACCCAGACAGCAATATTCGTGGCAGTTAGATGTATAAATCCAAACCTCGCTGCTAAACCGAATCTCTCCACAAGAACCTATAAATAAAATATAGTCAATTCCATCAGCTTGTTAATCCTACTTTCACTAGTTTATTTTGCACCGTGATAGTAAAAGTTCAAAGAATTAAAAACATTTGAGTCAATTACGAACAGCTACGTATCTTGTTAGTAATCGCTGATAATCTTTAGAAATTATATCTTCAAATATCGTAAAAGAGAACGTTATTGGATTTTCAAGAAGAAAGTGAACCTATACAAAATTTAGTAAAATTGCGTTCCTTTTTTATGATCGAACTTTCCATAGCTTAGTTCTTAGATTAGAAAGTTATAATTTACTTGATTAGTTATTACTCGAATACGTGCATTTGACACATTTGTTACTCTGCTTTTAAAAAATTGCTAATTAAAATATCACATATTCATAAATATTATACAAACGAATATCTTATGTCACTAAAGAAATATGATACAAATCAAAGGAGCGATTGACTGCCACACGAATTTTATGTATTTTGTCGTAAAAGTTGCCATACATTGAAATATACAACATCATAACATTTAATTTATGCAAAATATTATATTGTATTTACACACTTTCTCTAACAATGTTATCTAAGTCATATATATAGGATGTGTATGCACATCGTTAAAAGTT